CTGCGCTTGCTGTGAGACTCTCAATCCAGAGAGTTTCTGATTGCTGTTCTTTTGTGGGGGTGGGACCAGCCCTGCCTGATCGTCTGGCTCCCTGCCTCAGAGCCTTTTTTTTTTTTTTTTTTTTTAAGTTGGTGTTCCAGTCGCCTGTTGAAGAGGTGCCGCGGTGTGTGTTTTTTCCCGTGCAACAACTCCCTGTGCTGGCTTAAACAGCGGCACTGAGATTCGTGGCGCTTTTTTTGCCCTGGAGTCTACTGTCCTGGCTCCCTGCTCAGTCCCCTTTTTAAACAGACGAATGCGCGACTTCCCGTGGCTCCAATCGCCAGCCAAAAGGGCACCCAGACCGGTGCATTTTGTATGGAGAACCGCTGCTCTTGGGCACCAACAAAGCAGCCACGTGGGGCAAAGCAGCGGTGCCGGCCAGCAGAGCCGCGCTGGCTGAAACAGCTGCGCTCGCGACCCGTGGAACTCCTCCGCCTGGGAATTTCCTAGTCTGTGGGCAATAATAATGCGGCATCCACTCACCCTCTGTGCTTTCTCTGGGAGCTGCAATCCTGAGCTGTTCATAAATGGCCATCTTGGATCGATCGTGACAGTCTGTTCTTTATAGGAGCTCAAATGCTGAGCTGTGAGCTCTGTTGTTCATTCAGAGCTGCTGGGCAGGCACGTTTAGGTCTGCTGCAGCAGAACTCATAAACTGCTTTTTGTTCCCAGGTGCTCTGTCCCAGGAATTTAGGGCTTTATTTACGAGTTTCTGTTATGCTGTTGCCTTCTTTTTTTTCCTTCAGAGCTGCCCTGCCCAGCAAGGAGGCAGCCTAGTCACTGTCTGCCTGTAGAGGCTTTGCTGAGCTGCTGTGGGCTCCGCCCAGCTGCCGAGTGAACTTCCCTGCAGTCCTCTTTATATGGGTGTAGTTAGAACTGCCTCGGCAATGGTGGCCCACCTCTGTTAAGGCAGAGTCTCTCTGTAGTGGCGGGTTGCCTTGACAATGGCGGGCTACCTCAGCAATGGCGGGCTACCTCAGCAATGGCGTCCATAGTGGTGGATTGCCTCAGTAATGTCAGATGCCCCTCCCCCACAGAGTTGGACCATCCCAGGTTCAGCTGCGCTTGCTGTGAAACTCTCAATCCAGAGAGTTTCTGATTGCTGTTCTTTTGTGGGGGTGGGACCAACTGAGCCTGATCGCCTGGCTCCCTGCCTCAGAGCCTTTTTTTTTTTTTTAAGTTGGTGTTCCAGTCGCCTGTTGAAGAGGCGCTGGGATCTGTGTGTTTTCCCATGTGGCGACTCACTGCACTGGCTTAAACAGTGGCACTGAGATTAGTGTACCTTTTTTTGCCCTGGAATCTACTGTCCTGGTTACCTGTTCAGCCCCTTTTTTAAATAGATGAGTGGGCGACTTTCCGTCTCCAATTGCCAGCCAGAAGGGCACCTGGACCAGTGTATTTTGTACGGAGAACCGCTGCGCCGGGGCGCTGACAAAGCAGCCGCGCGGGGTAAAGCAGCAGCGCCAGCCGACACAGCCGCACTCGCCGAAACAGCTGCGCTGGTGACCCATGGAGCTCCTCCGCCTGGGAATTTCCTAGTCTGTGGGCAATAAAAATGTGGCCTCCACTCACCCTCTGCACTTTCACTGGGAGCTGCAATCCTGAGCTGTTCCTAATCGGCCATCTTGGATTCCAGATCTGAAGTCTTTTTCTATTAAGAGCAACATTTGGGTACCCTCAAAGGAAGTTTCTTTTTCTCTTTTTCTTCTGTGTAGGTTGCACTTTTTAATTTCATGTCTTACAATGTTTTGTTGAAAACTAGACATTTTGGAAAACATATTGTAGCAAGTCTAGATACTGTTTCTCCTCTTTCTGGAGCTTATTGGTTTGTTGTTGAGTCATTTATTTTTGACTTGGCTGGACTAATTTGGTGGAATTTATTTTCCCCACACTGTGTGGCCTCTAACATTCTTGCTTGGAATTTTTCCCCTTGTTTTTATCTATTCATGGCTTCTTATGGAGTTACCCCTGCATCCAAGTTCACTTACTGGCCCAAAGTTGTGCTTAAGCTCATTTAGGCAATTAGATTTTTCATCCTTTCCTGTGGTATGTGTGTTTGTTTAAAGACTGTTTTTATAGTTCAGCGAGTTTGTGGTTTTGCCTTGCATTCAGCCAGGGACTAATAGCTTGTATACTCTTTCTCTGCTCATGCCCAAAATAGCATAGTCTTGGCCATGTGCACAGTCTCTCAGATCCCTCGGTATAAGGCCGATTTGATTTTTAAGCTGGCTTCCCTGGATCTTAGTTTAATTTTCAGTTGGTGTTTCATCAGAGGTTCTGCTTAAGGCCCTGGAGCCAGTGAGGCTCAAGGTTATTTGCTGATAGATCTGTGTATGCCTTGGGTAATGCTTTTTAGTCTGCCTCAATACTTTCTCTGATTGTGCCTGAGTGGGTGCAGAATGGCACATGTGCACAGTCTTCTGGACCCCCAGAGATAAGTGTGACCCCAGGGGTTTTCTTCTTGGCTGTTACCCTGGTTCTCTTTGGTAACCTTCTGGTTGGTCTGCTGAGTATTATCATGGAGCTAACAACTCCCTCTTAATTGCTCACTACCAGGATCTCCATTGTTTTCAGCAGTGCCCTTAGACATGAACTTCTCCATGCTCTGTTTTAAATACATCAGTCCCCTCAGGAAGAGATGCAGAATTCTTCTTTGCTGCTGGCCTTTGCTTCTTGTCAGAACCTCTGAGCCACATGACTAGAGCTGGGTGCAGGGAGAATGGCATGCTTTTATTGCTACCGTATTAGTAAATTCTGGTGGTATGGCAGCCCTTGGTCTTCTTAGTGTGCCCTTTTGACATGGAACCTCTGTCTGATGAACCAGCTGGGGTGAAGATGATCAGGATCTCAGTAGTCTTTACCTGTCACATTTGGGGTTGAATCCTTACTCTAAGAATGAGAGCTGAGTAGGCAAAGAAAAGCTAGTCCTCTCAATCGTGCTTGCCCAGAACACTTCCATGACACAAGCCTGGGAATGGCAAGATAGTCTGGCAGCCTGCTTCTCCACAGGTGAAACCATAGCCTAGGATTTTAGGAACTGTGGGGAAAAAGAATTCTTATCTTCTTGGCTGCACCCATCTAGAGTAGCTTCCATCACTTGGAGCCAGTATAGATGGGAGCAGTTTATAGCTCAAATGCCATGGACTCTCACTGGTTTTACTGAGATTTAGTCTATTTTCATGAAGAAATGTTTTCCCGTTTTCCATATGCCCTTAGGACAATTTAAATTTTCAGAGACTAAGTGGTTGTTTTAATGAATTGTCCAGATGAGTGGTTGTTTCAATGGGTAGAGTGTCTAATATCACCATTGCAGAAGTTCCACCCTCATTGGTTATTTTAAAAACTGGAAGTATAAGGTTAATGTACTAAAGGAGACCTCAGTGAAATAGGGCTGACAATGACTAAGCCAGCGTTATGTCATTGTTAGTAATCTGAAAACTCAGTTTGATAGTTATGGGTCATTTATGGTTCATTTTTATTTTTATTCATTTGTTGAGACACAGTTTCACTCTGTCACCCAGACTGGAGTGCAGTGGTGCCATCTTGGCTTACTGCAACCTCCATGGCCCAGGCTCAAGCGATTCTCATGCCTCAGTCTCCCAAGTAGCTGGGATTACAGGCACGTGTCACCATGCCGGCTAATTTTTGTATCATTAATGGAGATGGGGTTTCTCCATGTTGGCCGAGCTGGTATTGAACTCCTGACCCCGGGTAATCCAACTCTCTTCACCTCCCAAAGTGCTGGGATTACAGGTGTGAGCCACTGTGACTGGCCTAGAGTTGTTGTTGTTGTTGTTTTTTAATTTTAAAGGAATATTTCAAAGTATTGTCTTCAAGTTAGTTAAATTCACCAAGATTTTATTGACATACTCCTTTGGAATACCAATTTTGTGGTGAGTGATTTTTGATTTGCTTTGTAGGTATTAGGTTTTGAAACCTTGAAACTCATATTAATACATTATTTGTGGTTATTGGAATTTCCCGTAGATAATATGGTTTGGTAATTAAAGCAGAGAACTGAAAATCAAATTTCTCTACTCCCCAACCCCTCACTCTCATTTTCAGTACCAATCTAGGAAATATCAGAAATAATTTTATTTCTATGTTGATTTGTTCAGCTGCAAAATGGAACTAATAGTGCTTCAGAAGGGTGGTTTGAGACTTAGTGAATATTGCTAAAGCGTTTGTTTATGTGAAAACAACTGCATTTGTTTTATTTTAAAAATATATTTTTGTTTCTTTGGAGCTCGGCATGGTGGTTCATGCCTATAATCCAACACTTTGGGATGCTGAGGCTGGCAGATCACTTGAGCTCAGGAGTTCGAGACCAGCTTGGCCAACATGGTGAAACCCCATTAAAAATACACACACACACACAAAATTAGCCAGGCATGATGGCAGGTGCCTGTAATCCTAGCTACTCGAGAGGCTAAGGCAGGAGAATCACTGGAACTTGGCAGATGGAGGTTGCAGTGAGTCGAGATCGCACCACTGCACTCCAGCCTGGGTGACAGAATGGGAGTCCATCTCAAAAATAACTAAGTAAAAAATTAATAAATAAATACATATTTATATTTCTTTAACTTTAAATGGCCAAGTAAGAGCTTGTATACACTTGTAAAGCATTTAATGCAGTATATATTATAATAATTTAATGCAGTATATTATATATATTTAATGCCATATATATATATGCACAAATGGAAAACAGCATCAATATAATTGTAGTGTTGATTTATTGGGTCTCTCCTAAGGAAATTTTTTTGTATAGTTGGAAAGTATTTCTTTATATCATTAATTTTCATGTATTAATTGAATGATAATCTGTTGTAGTGTAAAACGGAAAAGTAGAAATAAAGTATGCTTATACTATGTCTTCTTAGTAATATATAATCTTAAAAATTATATATTACTTGAAATGGATATATATATATATATTTTTTTTCCCTTTTTAATGACAGCCAAAGCTATGATATTGGGAAGATGGATAAGGATTCTACTGATCCAGAAACGCTGGTAAGGATCATGTTAAATATTGTAGAAGTAGGTTGAAGAACCTACTTTATGTTATTGTTATAAAATTACAATAGCATACTCCCATGTATGAGTAAATTAGCTATTGGGCACATCATTTAACATCTCAGTGCATTTGTTTTTATACATTTATATAATATAATCTACCTCATAGGCATGTACTCATGAATTAATATATGTAGAGTGCTTTGAACAATGTTTGACTATGTAAGTTTTAACTTTTCTTTCTTTTTTTTTAAATTTTTTTTGGCAGAGTCTCACTCTGTTGCCCAGGCTGGAGTGCAGTGGTATGATCACTGCAGCCTCTGCCTCCCAGGTTCAAGCGATTCTGGTGCCTCAGCCTCCCAAGTACCTGGGACTACAGGCATGGGCCACCACACCTGGCTAATTTTTGTGTTTTTAGCAGAGATGAGGTTCTGCCATGTTGGCCAGGCTGGTCTGGAACTCCTGACCTCCGGTAATCTGCCCACCTTGGCCTCCGAAAGTGCTGGGATTACAGGAGTCAGCTACTATGCCTGGCCTAGTTTTAACTTTTCTTATTGCATATTTTGAAGTTGCAGATTTTTCCTCAACTACCCAGACAGAACATGCCTGGATATGGAAATTAATCTTAATATGTAATCAATCAAAATGTGATTCTGTAAATAAATGTGTTGTAAAATTACTACATTCTATAGAAAAATGAAATTTTTTGAATATCCATTTGATTCTTACTATTACAGCATATTAATCAAAATATAGCTGAATGCCTTTTAATATATTTACCACCATAATATGTGGGGAATAAAAGAGAGGCATAAAATGTAGCTTCTGCCTTTAAGGAACTTATGATTGAAGGATAAAACCAGTACAAGTGAATACAATGAAATGTTATCCTGGCTTTAAAAGGAAAGAAATCTGACACATGCTACAACATGGATTAACTGTGAGGAGATTATGCTAAGTGAAACAAGCCATTCACAAAAGGATAATGTATGGTTCCACTAAGTGAGGTACATAGAGTAGTCAAATTCATAGAGACAGAAAGTAAAATGGTGGTTTTACGGGGTAGGGTGATGGGAGAATTGGGAACTATTATTTAATGGGTGTAGAGTTCCAGTTTTGCAAGATAAGACAGTTCTTGAGATGGCTGTTAAAAATGTTTAAAATTGTCATGGAGCCAGGTGCGGTGGTGTGCACCTTTAGTCCCAGCTATTCAGGAGGCTAAGCCAGGAGGATTGCATGAACCCAGGAGTTAGGGGCTGCAGTGAGCTGTGATCATGCCTGTGAATAGCCACTGCTTTCCATTTGGGAATCATAGTAAGACTCCATCTCCAAAACAGATTTTTTTGAGACAGGGTCTTGTCACCCAGGCTGGAGGGCAGTGGGTGTGATCAGCTCACTGTAACCTTCAAATTCCTGGGCTCAAGCAACCCTCCCTCCTCAGCCTACCTAGTAGCTGGGACTACAGGTGCACCCCATCACATTTAGCCAATTTTTAATTTTTTATAGAGATGGAGGTCTCACTTTGTTGCCTGGGCTGGCCTCAAACACCTGGCCTTAAGTGATCCTCCCATCTCGGCCTCTCAAGGTGCTAGAATTACAGGCATGAGCCACTGCACCTTACCTTAAATTTAAAAAGAGGTTTAAGATGGTAAATTTTATGTTATGTGTATTTCACTACAATTAAAAATAAATTATATATATAGTGACATTGTAACTTGTTATATAGCAATGAGACTCAATTAACTACAATAATTGCAACAATTTGGATGCTCTCACCTATAATATTGAATAAATGAAGCAAGATACAAAGCAGTACATACTGTATGATTCCATAAATATAAATGCCAAGAACAGTCAAAATGAATATATGGTGTTGGACATCAGGGAATTGGTTACCCTATTTGAAATAGAGTCTGAAAAGAAGCATGAGGTGAGCTTGTTGCTGTTAATGTTCTGTTTCTTGATTTTTCTGTTGTTAACATACATGTGTTTACTTTGTGAAAATTCATAGAGCATAGAATTCATAAGAGCATAGAGCTCTTGCGATTTTTGAACTTTTCTATATGTATTTTACACTTCAATGAAGAAAAATAGAATTTAAAAAACGCTACTGCAAGTGAAACAATTTGGGAAAATAATGATAAACTTTGTGGTACTGACCCGAAATATGCAGAAAGGCATGTAGAGAAGGGGATTATCAAGATTAGCTAGAGCAGCTGAAGGAGCCTTTTGGTAGGAGATGGCCTTGTAGATGGGATCCACACAGTTAAAAGGGTGGAAGAAAATGATTCCAGGCAAGAGACCTAGATGGGAGATGTCTAAGAAGGAAATAAGGATGGAAAATAGGATACAGGCTTGATTCAAATGGAGTATCCATATTGTAAGTTTCGTGAAGTAATACTATACAGTAATTTTTTATTTCATGCCAGCAATCATTTATTTGAGGTGTAATTTATATACAGTAAACTGCACGTCTCAAGTGTACAGAGTGATGAGTTTTAATATATAGTTTTGTATATTACACCATACAGATCAAGATTACAGAAACTTCCAATACCCCCAAAAGTTCCCTTGGCCCCATTCTAGTTAATACCCACCTTTACTTCTAAGGAAAGAAAGCCACTATTCTGACTTTTATTACTCTAGAGTATTTTTGGCTGTTCTTGAGCTTTGTATAAATGGAATCATACAGTTGTCCTGTTTTATGTCTGGCTTTTTAAAAATATACATTGTGAGATTCATTCATTTTGCTATGTCTTCTGGATGATTTGATCCTTTTACTATTATGAAATAGCTACAGTATTTCTCAGAAATGCCATATTTATTCCATAAAAGTTGTTTGGGGGAGCTTATCAGTTCTTAGAGTTGTTCCATGATAATAACAAGGTGGTAAGCTGATTAAATGAAATAGTGCTCTGCCTCGGTTTCCTTATTTTACAAGTGAGGATGATAAAATTCTTGTGTTAAACACTGTTAAGAAAATAATTATATTAACACAATTATATTAAATTTAAATAAGCCAGGAATGTAGCCATTACTGTAAAATTCTTAGACAATATTTTGAATGGGTAGCATAATGATAAGACATATTCCAAGACTATGGGGTCGCTTAAGGAAATGCTATTTCATAAAGATGACCTATGTTTGAGAAGATGCTTGTCACTGTGGAACTGCTAGTCAGCTGTTGTATTGAAGTTTAACCATCAGCTATCTGCTTTTTTTCTAATTTTTTTTACAGGCTAAAGTTCTACGGTTATTAGCCACCAATTATTTGGATTGGGATGACACCAAATATTATGATAAGGCTCTCAATGCTATAAACCTAGCAAACAAGGTATGAGGCTCTCATTTTTTAATACTAACTTAATGTGTTTTTTGAAGTTTTGATCACATTTAGACATTTGCTTCAGCATTTACTCTCACAGATTGTTGTAATCTCTTCTATAGCACAGAAAGGAAAAATAAAATATTGCTGTAATCTGAATGTTTGTGTCCCCTCAAATTCCTACGTTGGAATCTTAACCCTCAAAGTGATGATATTAAGAGGTGGGGACTTTTTGTTGTACAATGGAGGTAAAAATAAAAGAGGTGAGGACTTTGGGAAATGATAAAGTCATTGGGAAAATCCCTCTTGGATGGTATTACTGCCCTTATAAAAGAGGGCCAAAGGAGCTTGTTCACCCCTTTTATCATGTGAGGACATGAGAAGGCACCGAGCACCTTGACGTTGGAATTCCTAGCCTTCAGAAATGTAAGAAATCAGTATGTGTTGTTTGTGAAGTATCTAGTTTATGGTATATTGTTATAGCAGTATGAACAGACTAAAACAAATATACTTCTTTGAACACCAGAGATTTTTGAGAAAAATTTTATTTCCATGAAACAAATAGTGCACGCCTGTAATCCCAGGCACTTGGGAGGCTGAGGCAGGAGAATCACTGGAATCCAGAAGGGAGAGGTTGCAGTGAGCCACGATTGTGTCACTGCACTCCAGCCTGGGCAACAAGAGCCAAACTCAGTCTAAAAAAAAAAATCGTATTTTCTTTAAATAAAGATAGTTTTACTTCTTGCTTTCCAATCTGCATGCCTTTTGTCTCTTTTTCTTTTCTAATTATTCTAGCAAGAACATCCATTACTATGTTAAATAGAATTGGCAAGAGCAATTTCTTTTTCTAATCTTAGAAAGCGAGCTTTCAGTATTTTGCCATTAATTATGGTGTTAGCTATGGGTTTAGCATAGACGCCCTTTTTGTCAGGTTGAGGAAGCTCCCTTCACTCCTAGTTTTTTAAGAATTGTACAGCCACTTTGAAAACAAATTTGACGTTATTTGATAAAGTAGAATTTGATCATACCCAACCACCCAGCAACTTCACTCCTAGGTATATACTTTAGAGAAGCTCTAGCATTTGTATACAAGGAGAGGTGTACAGAATGCAGATTGCAGGATTGTTCATAATAGCAATTGGGTTGAAAACAGCTCAAATGTCCAAAATATAATGTGCAAATAAATTGTGATTTAGTCATAGAACAGAACACTATACAATAGTTGTTCTCAAACTTTAGCTTGTGTAAGTATTACCTGGAGTGTTTGTTAAACACAGTTTGCTCATTTATTACCTTACTAAACAGATAATAGAATTCATGTTGAATTGGAAACTTTCTGTAATGCGAATAAATGATAATTATTTTACACATTTTCTTACACACATGCCACACACAATTTGCTAGGCAATACTCCCAGAGTTTCTCCTTTAGTTGGTTTTGGATGAGGCTTGCATTTCTAACAAGTTCCCAGATGGTGCTGATTCAGGGACCACCTTTTGTGAACCATGCTATATAGTAACGAAAACAAATAAATTTCATGTATCAATATGGATGAATCTGAAAAAACATGATTTGAATCGAAGTCACAGAAGAATATATCTAAGAAGTCACAGAAGAACTTATATGCATTATGACTCTGTTTAAGTGAAGTTCAAATGTAGACAAAACTAAATTGTGTTGGCTAGGTTGAGCTGTTACAACAAAATACTATAGACTGGGTGGCTTAAACAATCTCAAAAGAAAATAAAATTAACTGCTTTGTTGTTTTGCTTACAAAGAACATTGCCTGAGGTTCATACAGTTTAAGTATTGATTTTGTCATTAAATGTCTGTCACTCATTGGAAATATTTACATGTTCTTTTCCATATATTATTTCATTTAGATTGAATAAATTATTGGGAAGTATCCTCAGGGATAGAATGGATGTTATGACATAATCTTTTGTAATTTTGATTTCCTTTGATTATGAGTTATCCCAAGGTGGTTTAATAAAGCTAGCAATTACTTGAAAATTGTCTTTTACATTTCACAATTTTAATATCATTGTGATTTCTTTGTTTAAAATAGGAACATTTAAATTCTACCGGGCTTTTCTTAAAAATGAAAATCCTCTTGAGAGGTGAAACATCTAATGAAGAACTCCTTGAAGGTACGATCTCAATGTGTGATGAGCACACCATTTTGAAACATCACTACAATTCGTTAAATATAAGAAGTTTGGTAGTATACTAAAAATAGTTGTAATTTGATGGTGGCTGAGAAGAAAACTGGTCACCTAGGAAAGGGAAAATATTGTCACCCAGGAAGAAGGAGAGAAAGAAGAAAAAATGGTAGCAAATTTTAAAAGCTTTTTAAAATAATAATAATAATAATAATAAAGCTGAATAAAAGCAATCAGTTTTCTTTTAGCCCAGCAGAGAACTGTAGCTACCCAACCCTTTTGAAGTTGTCTACCACCATGAAGAAAGAAAGACTAATTATTATTTGGAAAAGCCTTTGTAATGCTGTGTTTTTTTAATTACTTGTTTATAAACATTGCTATTTATTTATCATAATTCTCCAAGGACCAGAATGTGCACTGCACAGAAGTGGGTAATTGGACAAGTCACTTAACTTTGCTTTGTTTCTGCATTTAGCAAAAGAGATATTATCTACCTTATCGTGTTGTTTTGAGAATCTTATGAGAAAATGTGTATAAAGCTTTTAGCACCATACCTGGTGCATAGTGTGCAATATATGCTACCTATTACTGTAGTTATTATCATTGTTACTGTTATTACTACTATATGGATGCATTACATGAGGCAAAACTTTGCACACTAACCCTTAATATTTCAGTTTTCTTTAGTCATAAAAATTATTTACTCTAAAATTCTTTTAATGTTTTACATTCTTTTTAGTAATCTTTAAGAGCTGCATTATTTATACTAAACAAAATTATACGTTAGTATAGTTACTGATTGTCCAATAAATAATAACAATTTGTTATAATTAGGACTATAATCCAATTTGGCAGTAGCCCTAAATTTAGTGCTACTGACTCTTTCAGTTGCTTCTAGATTTTTAGCCAATCACTTAAAGAGACCAGAGAAGCCCAGATGTATTGGGGATTCTGCATCTCTAGGCAAGACTATCACCTCAACATACACAAGTTGAAAAATATTACAAACCAGAAAGACAACTCTACTTTTTTGCATTAGGGGAATGAGCAAACCAACTAACCAATTAAAAGAATACATTACTCAATCTAAGACAACATAGGAAGACCAGAGAGATTATTGGAGTCACCAAGTTGAAGTAGATTAGTTTTGGAAGATAATTCCTCATGACAGTGTTTATCCAAATGTAGGTAAGAAGTAGAGTTTAAAATGAAATTATTCTTTATTCCCAGATTGTTTTTACTTAACTCAATCTAGATACTCCTGAAGTTGTAATGTCAGTCGTAGTTTGATTACAGATTAGGAGGCTAATCCAAATCCAATTTTTTAATATTTAAAAATACTAGATTTTTTCTTTGTTGCATTGAAAGAATGTATGAAACTTGCATTTTTACATTCTGTTCATTGCTTTGCTGGTGAAAATACTTTACTCTTAAAATGGTCAACCTATGGCTCACACCTGTAATCCCAGCACTTTGGGAGGCCAAGGAGGGTGGATTATGAGGTCAGGAGTTCGAGACCAGCCTGGTCTACATGGTGAAACCCCGTCTCTACCAAAAATACAAAAATTAGTCAGGCGTGGTGGTGCATTCCAGTAGTCCCAGCTACTCACGAGGCTGGGGCAGAAAATCACTTGAACCTGGGAGGCTGAGGTTGCAGTGATCTGAGATCACACCACCACACTCCAGCCTGGGTGACAGAGCGAGACTGTCTCCAAAAAAAAAAAAAAGTCAACTCAATCTAACTGCTCGCATTATTGCACTGATATTTTTTGTAGTAGAACGATTGAAATTTAAAAATAAACATTTTTCATTATTAAAGGATAGCACATAATAATTTAAGACATTTTTGGAAAATATTAAAAATACTCATAGTCCTACCATCCACTAGATGCTCCTTGACAGCAGGAATTTTTGTTTTGTTTTATCCACTGCTGGGTTCTCAGCACGAAGCACAGTGCCTGGCACAGAGCATATGCTCATTAAATATTTGTCAAATAAATAGAATCAAAACACAATCACTTTTAGAAAATTGATCACTTATTTTCAGTATACTTTCTATCTTAGTTTACTTTGCTTGTATTACGGAATTGTGATTATATAGTACATAAAACTTTGCTCTAGTTTTTCACTTACTAATCTTACACATTTTTCATATTAGTGTATATTCATTTTTTCCATGTTATTTCATACTCAACAGTTTTAATGGTGGCACAATAGTTTATTTCTTTCCTATAATAGACATACAGTATATGTTTCTTTTCTATTATTATTATAATCCACACTGCTTTTAATATTTTTGTTCATAAATTTTCCCCATATTTATTCCAGGTGACTTTTCAGAAGCACAATTTCTTGAAGGGAGTAGTAATAATAGCAGCTGCCATTTATTAAATGCTAGGTTCTTTGCTATATAATTTCCATACATTATCTCATGTAATCCTCTCCACAACCCTGAGAAATTGGTGGTATATTCTCCATTTTACAGGTGACAAAACTAAGGTATAGAGAGCTTAACTTGCCTATGGCCATACAAGTAGCAAGTGGTTTCAAATTTAGATCTGTCTGACTTCAGATACCAAGCTCTCTACTCCAGTGTTCTTAGCATGTAGTATTGCCAAGTTGCTTTTTAAAAGGATTGCACCAGATTACTTTGCTATCTGTGCAAGACTGCCTGTGTCATGACACTCTCCAGCACTGGATGTTAATACTTTAAAAGAAGATTTTGATAAATTGTTAGGGAAAACATGGTATTTGGCAAACATTTAGTAAGTCGATTTTGAATAGAGGAAAATTATTGAAAATAGCTAAGCTTCCTCAAAAACGAAACTGATAATAATTATTTCATTTTTTCATCTTGTTAGCTGTCATGGAAATACTGCATCTTGACATGCCCTTAGACTTCTGTCTGAACATTGCTAAACTGCTGATGGATCATGAAAGGTACAGAATTGATTTCTCTTTCTCTAAAGACTGACAGTTTTTGGCTAGGCACCAGTGGCTCACAGCTAGAATCCCAGCATTTTAAGAGGCTGAGGCGGGAGGATCCCTTGATCCCAGGAGCTTGAGACCAACCTGAGCAATGTAGTGAGACCCCATGTCTACAAAATGTTTTGTAAAAAATTAGCTTGTATGGTGGCATAGGCCTGTAGTCATAGCTACTCAGGAGGCTCAGGTGGGAGGATCACTTGAGCCCAGCAGTTCAAGGTTAGAATGAACTATGATAGTGTCACTGCATTGCAGCATGGTCAACAAAGCAGGACTGTCTCAAAAATTTTTTTAAAAATTTAGTCCCTCCTTCACACTAGCCATGTATCAAATCCCAATAGCCGCATGTAGCTAATAGGCTACCTTGTTGGACATTACAGGTTAAAAAAATTTCCATTATCACAGGGAAGTTCTATTGGTCAGTGCTGTTTTAGACTCTATATTTCTTTTAATGCATACAACATTTAAATTAGCTCTTTTCTGTTAGCTACATCACATGGTTTCCTGGACTTATGAAACTGTATCTTTACAATATCAATTGCTCTTAATGCCTGATATCCTCTATTATGGTTAAGTACCCATTTACCATACTTTATAAATTATTAAATTTCAGCCTGATGTTACAGTTGGTTTTTTTCAGTTGTTCTAATCTTTGTGAATTTCAATTCTATCATGCAATGTATTAACTATTCCTCCCAGTCTGTGTCATCTTTAAATTTGGTATTGCCACCTGTCTTCCTCTAATTCAGGGGTCTGCCAACTTTTTCTTACAGGGTGAGATATAAGTATACATTTTGGGCTTGTGGGCCACACAGTCTCTGTCACAACTAGTCAACTCTGCTGTTGTAGTGGAAAAGCAGCCAAAGACTAATCATAAACAAATGTGTGTGGCTTTATTCCAGTAAAAGTTTATTCATAAAAACAAGTAGATGGATTGTAGGCCATAGTTTTCTAATTCCAGATAATTTGATAAACAGGGCAAAACTGAGGCCAGAACTTTTGTGGCAGCCTAGATTAATCTCCAAGTTAACATCAATCAATTAATTGATGCTTTTTAGGGTACAATCATCGAACCTGTTATAAATCCACCCAATTATATAGCCAGATGGCCTAATTACCTTCATCTTGTTCACAAAAATTTCATGGAACTTAATTTTTATTTTTTAAAGTTTTGGTTGTTTATATCCTTTCTTCTTCCAAAGAGAATTTGAAGCTTCTTATATTCTAGTGTATAATAAAGCTTTGAAAATTGAAATAGAATATCAAAACCCTGAAAAGGAGGAAGCAAACATGCCAAACACAATGGCTAATACAGTTGCTGTGGTAGAGCATTAAATTTAACTGTAAGCTTTCTTGCAGCCAGGGAAAAGGGGCAATATGATATTTTATACAATTTTCATTATTAAATAACAAAAGCTAATATTTACTGATACTTGCTTTGTACTAGGCACTATTCTAAATTCTTTACATTATAAATTATGAAATACTCTAAGGTAATTTGTTTGAGTAACCCCATTTTGCAGGTGAGAAAAATGTGGGTTAGATAGAAAAAGTAATTTGCCCACAGTTGCATAGCCAGGAAGGAGCAGATCTGGAATTTAAATATATTTACAGAGCTCACACTTTTTACTACTGTAGTGGAAGGAATACATAAAGACTGAAAAACTTCCCCTTCAATACTACGTTCTAAAGCAATTAGTCACAAGAAAAAGTTTACAGACTAGTGGACTATGGGCTGGATATGGCCAGAGATGTGTTACATATAGTTGAATTAGTGGCCAACATTTAACATTCAGGAAATTTCACACAAAAATGTGGTTTTTTGATTTCTCTCGAAAAAGTTGAAAAATCTGGAAACAATTGGCCAGTATTTCCATTAAGCAACAATCGGTTGGAGCTGAGTAGCAGTTGCCACCTTTATCCATAGGGCATGTGTTCTCCAGTTTGTCATAGTCCCCAGAATTCCTTACTTTTTCCTATATCTTGTACATCAAGTTGCCGCTTATCTTTTTGTGTGTGTTGTTACTATAGCAGATCTAAGAGGAAAATAAAATACGGCACCCACATCTCTATCCAAAGTAGAACGAAAGCTAGGCTGAGAAGATGTTGTAAGAAAATGGAAAGAATAAATTCCTTTCTGATAGAAGTAATAAATTATTGTGTGTTTAATATGCAATGTGTGTTTACATCAATGATTACAATCCAAGAGTCCATTATGAAACAAAATATAGTAGAAACTACAATCACTACACAGAAAATCTGTGTAATGAAAAACAATCAATTCAAGAAAAGGACTGAAATTTCAACTGGGTTTATTTTGGAAAATGAATGAAACAAGTAACCCTGTTGTAAAATGCAGTTATGTAGTTATATATTAAGGGAAAAGATTACCCAGGCAATAGCTCTTTTACAGATGACAAGTTTGCAAAAAAGTGTCTACTTAATGAGTCACACAATGTATTCTTAAGTTTCAACTCCAACTCTAACCAGAAATGCTGTTGTTTGGCACATTGAAGGTATGGCTGAGAATTTATTGGAGAAGTTACTTGAAGAGAGTAATTTATTTTTGGTGTTTTCTGTTGCATAGACATAAATAATAATGCCCAGTGAAGTATATTTATTTGTGGCGTCAAAGAGAACTTTGATATGATAGAACTTTTGAACATAGCGCCTGTGTCTTAAGTTTAATGTTAGACTGGTCAAAATAAGTATGACTACAGAATCATGCAATGATTCATGTTAACATAAGACTTGATATGAAACTTAAATCCAAGGTGGCAGTGTTTTTAAAGATACAAAACTTCAATGTATTAATTGTATAATTCACCAGGAAACACTGCCCTAAAAAGCTAAAGAATGAAACGTGTATATAGTAATAATACATGTATACCAGATATTCTTCTGTGGCTTCAACAGAGATTATTGGGTTTTTTTTTTTTTTGGATGAATTGGATGCACAATACAGTAGCTGCTTCTGCTTCTTGTAGATAAGGGGGCTCAGTTGTATGTGGTGTGTGTCACAGGTTGGGTTGCCCTGGAAGCAAATTTTGAGGTGGAGGTTAACATGAAGATAATTTATTAAAGGGTTCTTCCCGGATCAGCACCTGTGAGGGGAAGGGGATGCAACTGGACTAATGGGAGAAGTTGGCCTAGGTATAGTCAGAAGGACTCAGCCTTGCTTATTGGGAGCTCTGAAGCTGAGATGGTCCCTCAGAATTGTCCTCAGCTAAGTTCACAAGGCTGGTCCTTGTATCCCGATGTTGACTAGTCTCTGTATTCTAGTTATCCTGGGAAAGGAGCATAACCTTGGGTGTGGTAGCTTTTTTCAGCCTAGTGAATTCCCAAAGAGCAACTGGGGAATAAACACTTCAGTTCTGAAGAGGAATTTTGGGGATGTAGTGCAACATTTAAGTCAGGTGCTGAAGAGATATTTTTTGAACTGTTGAAAGAATTCAACTTGTTCATGTCATCCAAGGGAAAATCCCTGACTCATCTCAATGATTGACCTTTTTGGTGAATAAGACAATTCATATAAACACTGAATCTTTCTTTGCAAAAGTGCACATAAGTAGTTACACAAATGTAAAATTTAATTCACGTGTTCTTAGTGAAGTCATTTATGGGAAACGCTTTTGACAGGAATAATATGGCTTACTTTTCTGTGCTGAAATTGGTGTTCAGAGATGGAGGTGATTACTTAAACTACATATTCACAATTGTAGGTTTAGAGTGAATTCTAAGTTTTCTGATTTCCAACGTTGTGGTAATGAATGAATTTTGTCTTTTTCAATTAATTTTACTAATGTCAATAAAGAACTACGAATTGAAGAAATCGAACTGCAGTGTAGTGTGGTACTGAATCCTAATTAGACAACTTTAGAATATCAGTATGTAGTAGACATTTGCTGCTTTTGGCCATCCATCATTTTATTCATTCCACTCTCTTCTTGATACAGTACACAAATTTCCACTTAAGTATCTACTTCTCCCTATCAGGCCATGTGGACATTGATATGTTGGTATAGAAGAAAGAATTTTAGGTTTCTATTTACAAGTCAACAAAGTAATCAATTTGAAATGAAAATTTGATGAATTATTTATATTTTTAGATTTCAAATTTAAAATATAGCTTCTATTTTCTTTCCTGTTCATACTATGTGTTAATGTGCTTATACCATCACTCAGTGATAAAGTTTAATTACATATCTGGCAGTGGATTTTTTTAGTCTGCTTCACTCATTTATGATACATATTTGGCTTCTGTAGACAGTGTAGGAAGTTGCATTATATAATGGACAATGCTTTTAGTAATTTTATAGCAAATGCGTTAGTATATTTTACGTAGTGAAGTTTTTTTAAGCAATCAAAGCTAAGCATGCAGAACGTTAACTGTTAGAAAGTGAACGAAGTGGCTGGGCACAGTGGCTCACACTTTTAATCCCAGCACTTTGGGAGGCTGAGGTGGGTAGATCACCTGAGTTCAGGAGTTCAAGAGCAGCCTGGCCAACATGATGAAACCCCATCTCTACTAAAAATACGAAAATTAGCCGGGTGTGGTGGCACACACCTGTAATCCCAGCTACTCAGGAGGCTGAGGCATGAGAATCGCTTGAATCTGGGAGATGGAGGTTGCAGTTAGCCGAGATTGCACTGCTGCAATCCAGCCAGGGCAACAGAGTGAGACTCCTTCTCAAAAAAAAGGAAAGAAAGTGAATGAAGTTCTGTAATGGACTAAGCTAATGTAGTTCAGACCTAGTTTTGTGATGATCCACCTTGATGCAAGGATAAAATTTTGCATACATAGAATGGATGGAAATACTATGTCTCTTAAGTGATCTTTTTGTGTGTGTGTGTGTGTGCAATTTCACCTTTCACAGTCAAGCTTCATTAGGAGACAGCAGACAATTCCAGGTTATATACTTATTAGATCCTAGTAATATATGGTACTATTTAAG